TTTTGGACTGTTGCCTGTTTTTGTATAGGTGTGAGTTAAGAATGATTCAAAAAATTTTGCTGGGCCAGATTTTGCCCTTGGACTTGTTGGACTGTCAAAATCTTTTTAGATCCTGATTGTGATTGAGTACAGTGGTGCTGCCATCTAGGTTTGGGTAAATCACACCTTTGATAAGCATTCCATTAATAATAGCAACAGCAATAACAATAATGATGATGAATTGAATAGTGCTTTAAAGTTAGCAAAATGCCTTACACATATTTTATTTGATCCTCATTTGATAAGCTTTTTGTTTCCCAGGATCCAGCAAATAATAATAGTAATGTTGATAATAACAGCTAGGATTTATATAGTGTTTTAGAGTTTGCAGAGCACTATGAATATTGTGTCATTGGATTCTCACAATATTGCTGGGAGATAAATGCTATTATTACCTCTGATTTTCAGATGAGTAAACTGAGGCAGATAGCGATTAAATGACTTGCTCAGGATCGCATAGTTAGTATCTGAAGTCAGATTTGAACCTATGCTTTCTTGAGTTTAAGTTCATTCCAGTATTCACTATACCACCAAACTGCCTTTTCTAGTTCCCATAGTCTATGTGATTAGGTCTCTTGAAGCCCAAACATTCTGTTTTACATTCTCAGGTCCCTTCTGACTCTAAAGTATTGTGTCCTACATCCTAAGGTACCTTCCAGCTCTGACATTTTTTGGTTTTGAAAACCAGTCTTCTGCTTATATTATAATACGAGGCTCTGACCTTCATGGAGTTTGCTCTCTGTCCTGTCCTAGCCTAGCATTTGTTTCTCTCCTCTCCAGAGGCTACATAGGAAGGGTCTTCATGATCCTCCTTCACCCCCCTGAGTCTGTTATCACCAGCTTGCTTCCAGTGCAGGATTTCCTTGTAAATAGAGCCTTTGGCGCTGTCTCTTCCCTGAAGCCCCCTGGCTGCTTTCCACCTGAGATCTCCACTCACTGGCAGAAGCTGAGTGACAGATACACTCATCTACCAGGGAACGGTGAAGTCTGTTCCTGATCCAGTTGTGGGCTCCAACCACTGCCCAGCTCTCAGACTACCAAGTCATGGCTCTTGTCCCCTTCCACAAGGACATGAATGGTTTATTCAAATTTGGGTACACTAGGAGAAAAATACCACAGTGTGAAATCCTTGGGCTTTCCCTTTACCAATCGGGGAAGGCACTTGATGCTATCTCCATGACTTCTTATTCTCAGACCAGTGGCAATAAGTAGTCCTTTGAAGGCTTAAGGTCAGTATTCTGACCTGAGTCATCTGAACTCTGCTCCTGTTGGCTACCTGTGGGTTAGAGTTGATCTCCAAAGTTAACCGGTGATTCTATGCTAGAAAGCTGGTGCTTGGTATCAGCAAGACATCCATTTAGATCTATAAATATGTGATTATGTGTGTGTGTGTATCTATGTCTATATATCTGTGTTTATATGTGTATGCACATGCACACACATACATATATATGTATAGATGCATATGTGTTCATATATATATATATATTTATCTTTCTGTCTTTTTGAAGGCTTTTATTTGAATCATAGACTTCTAGAAGCACAGCAAGAAATATCCTAGTGTGATTTGTCTTTTCTCACCTTTCCTCAAACTCAGTGTTCCTTCTTAAATAAAGCCATTTTTAACTCTGTGTACTGTTTGTGCCCTTGCTCACTCTTCTAGAGCCAGGCTGCTACATGTCTCCCTTATGTTTTCCAAATTGAGTAGTCTGGGTGTGTCTTTTGTCTACTGGTGTTGACTTGAATCTCCACCAAGTGTATCCCCCACCTCCACTATTTGGGACTAGTGACTAGTGTCCCACTTCTATTTAAACTCAACACCAGGTAGCTTTTACAAAGAGGTATTTGCTTCAAAGGTATAGCAAAACAAAATATAAATATTTCTCTCAATACTTTGGGAAGGGGAGAGAATACTGACCCTTATACCACTTTAATCTCTGAGGGAAGTAGACACAACTTTATTTAGTTTGTACATGGTAACAATCCCACCAAATTTGTGTCCAAAAGTAGCATTGCATTGAGTCTTTGTCTCTGGGCTGGAGTTTTGAAGGTCACTTCATGCTTCTTGGGGCATAAGTGCTACATTGGCTTCAAACCTGAATTCTGGAACACCAGGATTTGTAACCTTTTAAACTCACTCCCTTCACTAGGGGCAGTTAGGTGGCATAGTGGTTAGAGCACTGGACTTGGAATCAGGACCTTAAGGTGTGGGTATGACTTCAACAACTTAGGGTGGGAGGAGCCTGGAGAGAGTCTTCCAAAACAGAGGGAATAACCTGAAGGAAAGCACAGAGTCTCACGAGGTGAAATGAATAGTAGCATAAGCACTTGAAGACTAGCATTCTCTTGGCCTTAAATGAGAAGACCTAGCTTTATGGGGTTAAGTGATTCTAAGACCTTTCTTGTTATAAAGTAGCAACTTAAAAATGACCAGACCCTGAAGTTTATTCACTTGACACATTTAAGGGCCTGCTGTGTCCTGGAGGAGATAAATGGTGCCTGACCTCTTCAAGCTTACAATATGGCAATATTGGAATCCGCCTAGTTAAGTGAGGTAGATTTTGCTAAGCTCCTTAGAGAAATGGAGAACACAGGGCAACATGAGCTCCGGAGGAGGAAGTTTGCTATCGACGAAATCCAAAAGAGCTGTGATGATCCTGGCTCTTTGCATCGCATTCCTGAGTTAGAAGGGGAGGCAAGGGGAGATCATTTGGTGTAACTTTTAGTGCAGTAAATATTTTTTTAAAGAGGTGTTTTAAAAAAATCAAATGCCAAAAATGATTTCATTTTGTTTTTATCAAAGAAATGAAAAAAACTGCAAAGAGATTGCTCTCTGGGAAGGGTAGTTATGTAAGGAGTGGGTGGGAGAGGAGTCGGGTTCGCTCTTACTTTTGTTGCCGTGGTTGCCAGTAGGCAGCCAAGACTTTGAACTGTTCCCTGCCTTTCTCTCAATACCCTTGTCTTTTGGAACTATTCCTTAGCTAAGGAGACAGAAAGGCTTTTTTTTTTCTTGAAGTGACTTGGGGAACAATGAGTCACCTGTGCTGCCCACAAAAGAAGCCTCTCTGCTTTCTTTTTCTCTCCCTCTTTCTCTTCATTTTAGGACTGAATTGACCAGAAGTGGTGGTGATGATGATGATGACAATGACGATGCTAACATTTTATGTAATGCTTTGAGAATTGCCAAGTGCTTTACATATATTATCTCATTTGATATAGAAGACCTTCCTAAGGAGAATTATGTAAAGAGGTGGATGAAGGGAATCTGGTTGATCTATGAATTTTTCTGATAGGGAACCACAGTGTTAATGATCAATAGGATCGTAGAATTTGGAGCTGAAAGGGACCATGGAGACAGTCTTGGTGTCATAGAGGATAGAGTGCTAGGCTTGCAGTTAGGAAGATCTACATTCTGTTTTTGCCTCAGACACCGACTAAGAAACAGTGTGATACTGGGCAAATAATTTAACTTCTTTCACCCTCTTCTCACAGGATTGTTGTGAAGATCAAATGAAACAATGTAGATGAAGCACTTTACAAACTTTGAAGTGAGATATAAATGTTATTATCATCATCATTATTATTCCAACTTGCTCATTTTACATTTGATGAAAGTGAGAACTGGAGAGTTTAAATGACTTGCCCACAGTCTCCACAGCTAGTGAGGAGCAGGGCCAAAATGTGAAACCAATTATTCTGACTCCAAATCTACTGTGTTTTGAGGTCAAAGTGAATTAGAAGAAGAGCTGGAGTCATTCCTCTGTTCAGTAACTGTTGATGAGCATTGAAAGCCTGTTATGTTCAATGTACTGTGTGAAGTACTTGGAAGGAGAGAGATAGGAAGATAAATTGTGCTTTGTAATAGACAATCAAGGTAGAGTCAAAAGAGGAGGGGGAAGGATGGAATTGTTTTGGTAGTCAAAAAAAAAAAACCTTAAGTACAAGGTTGATCTAAGTTGCATAATCTCGAATTTGAATGGACCTTATAGATCACCTAGGCCACCCCAGCCCTTTTTTTTTTTTTTTTTTTACAGATGAGAGACAGAGGTGTCCAAGGATACAGAGACAGCAAATGTTTGAGGTGAGATTTGAACCTAGGTCATAAAATCATAGATGGACAGCTGTAGGGAACCTCAGAGGTCATCTCATTTAACACCCATATTTTACAGATGAGGAAAGAGACCTAGAGAAGTGGAAGTGACTTGTATAAGATTACACAGATAATAAGTGGAAGAATTTGCATCCCGATATTCTGACATTGAATCTTTCCACTGTCCCACACGAAACATTTCCAAAGACCTTTTTTTTTTCACAATATACAAGCTCCCTTTTCAATGGGACAGTTTTCTTGGTCTGGTAGATAGGGCACTGGACTTACAGTCGGGAAGACCTGGGTTCAAATCCTATTTCAACATTTATTAGCTGTATGAGCTTGGGCAAAGCACTTAATTATTCAGGGCCTCAGTTTCCTTATTTGTAAAATGAAGAAGTTGGACCAGATGGCCTCCTAGGTTTCTTCTAGCTCCTAATCTATGATTCTTTCATTCATTATATGTGCTCTACTTTTGCCTGCTGACCCTTTAACTTGGTATTTCTTTCTTCTTTACTTTAGAGTTGGGTTTTAGTCAAAACTATTCCATGGAGCTGAGTGCAGGGTAACTTGCTTGAGTGTGTGCTTAAGTTCTTCCATTTTTGTTTAACTTTATATAACCAAAGCCTTTTCATGAAAGTCTTACAGTATTGCTTTGCTACGCTAGGGAGGTATCCCAGGTTCTCCAAAGGCTATTCGAGGGGAGCATAAACTCAGGCTGTTTATGTCAAGCTGAGAAGGTTTGGAGCACAATTTTGGCAAAGGATCATATGTCTGTTGCTGAAGGCCAGACTAGCTAAGTTGAAAAGAAGCTTAGCAAATGACCAGAGAGTTGGCCCTCAGGTAATTTTTCTTTTCCTTTTGGCTGCAGTGACTCATCAAACCCTTTACTAAGGCATGGAATGGTTGCAATGTGCATTGATAGAAATACATGCCCTGATGAAATTGTGGAAATTTGGAGTATTGAGGTAAGTAACCCAAGTGGTATGTTTTTGACTTTAATAATTGCTAGATTGAGATGGAACGGTATGGATGTCTTCTGTAAACTCATGGTTCTTCAGGGAAAACCCTGAAAAATCAATGACTTTTCTGTAGTTGAGCTGCAGGCAGGGAAAGGGGTGAGGGAATACCTCATGTCCAGTTCTAGGAACTACATTTTAAAAATCATGTTGATGAGATAGAGGATTTCTATCTAGGTTCTAGAACAGGGTTTCTTAACCTTTTTTGTGTCAGTGACCCTTACGGTGGGCTGGTGAAGCCTATGGATTCCTTCTTGGAAACATATTGTTAAATGAGCAGAATTAAATACATAGGATTGCAAAGGGAATCAATTATAATGGAATATAGTGATATATATCATATCATATCATATAATATCATATCACAATTATCAGATGCATTAATGGGTCTCTGGTTAAGAAAGGTGCCAGAAAATAGTGAAAAGACTCTAAAGCTTGGTATATTAGGTTTAGTTGAAGATACATGGGATGTTTTTCTTAAAGCAACAGAGACTGAGCAGGGGTGGGGGAAGGGGTGTAAGAGTGGTGTTTAAGTTTTTGAAGGGCTATTGTGGAGAATGATGATGAAATTTTCTGCTAGATGTAATAGGATATGGGTGGGCACCCATTGGCAGAGAGACAGATTTTGGTTTACTGGAAAGAAAAAACTTGGTAGCAATATAGAACTGTCCCACAGTGGAATAGGTTGCCTCAGTAAGTAGAGAATTTTCTATCATTGAAGGTATTTAAGAATAGATTGGGCAACCATTTATCAGGGATATTGTAGGAATGGATTCTTACTTAGGTTGAGGGTTAAAATGGGTAACATTTGAGGTTCTTCTCAACCTTAACTTCTAGGATTATACAACTGATTCCCAGGTGTGAGTGAACCTGTTCTTTCACTTGGTTTGATGGGAAGTTTTCTGACAAGGAGACTTACAGTGCATTCATTATGCAGCTTCTGGTGATAAATGACTAGGTAATATTAAATGCGTGGCAACCTTACTGCTTTGGCAATAGGTTTCCTGAGAAGAGATTGTGGAAGATATATTTTTTAATCAATTATTGATACCTCACAATGAAACTAGGCTTCCATCTTACACTTATGGCTATTTTTAACATGATTGCTGCTGCAATCCTGCTATTACTCAGTATCCTGAGTGTTCTTGCTATTGACCCTCTGCCTTGGATATATAGGAGAGTACTAATTTGAATGAATGAAATGAATAAAAAAAGCATTTATTAAGCTCTCCTATGTGCCATGCATTGTGCTAAGTTTGGGGAATCAAATACAAAAAGAAGATAGTCCCTGGTTTCAAGGACTTTACATTCTCATGGGAGAAGACAGCATTTATAGAGTAGTCAAATCCAGGGTGGGTTGTTTTGATCAGGGAAGTCAAGGGGCTAGTGAATGGAGCCATAGAACTCTTTTGACCTATCCTTTTCAAGAATGGTAGTGTAGATTTGATTACCTTCTCAAAGCAAGAAGTAGAAAGGTAGAGGTGGATGTGTATGCATGTGGTGGCATATTAGGAGGTAGCCAGAGAGTAGCAGCATGGTGAGTTTGGTTCAGGATAGTTATGGTAAATACTTACCAACCAGAATCCCAGGGATTTAGGGTGAAGCTGGAGTGCTGAGGGGAGGTAGAGGTTAGAGAATGGAGAAGGATATATTTCAGGAGAATGTAGGAATGCAAGAGAATATAATAAAGATGACAAGTTACAGCAGTGTGTGTGTGTGTGTGTGTGTGTGTGTGTGTGTGTGTGTGTTTGTTGAGGTTGGGGGTCTTTTTTTTTTTGGCTAGGCAATGGGGTTAAGTGACTTGCCCAGGGTCACACAGCTAGTAAGTGTTATGTGTCTGAGTCCAGATTTGAACTCAAGTCCTCCTGAAACCAGGGCCGTTGCTCTATCCATTTCGCCACCTAGCTGCCCCTGAGGTTGGGGTCTTGATCAGGTTAATTATAGTTGCAGGAATTCAAGACAGAAATCTCTAACTCCACTCCATTCCCCTCCAATATTGTTCAATGAAGGTCTTGAGCAACCTTCATAACCTCAGGGCCAGCTGCTAGGGGCATGATGGAAGTTGAAAAGAATTTACTCACTCCAACTCAAATATCAGGCAAACTGGGGAGGTAATCACCAAGGCAGAAGAATATCAATTAAAAAAAAAGGCAGATTGAGCACAAGGTGTTGCTATATGCTGGTTGGGTGAAACTGTGCATATGATTCAAATGAAAAACAAGCTGGTGCTACTCCAGTTGTGGAGAAGATGCTGCTATTAGTACAGAGTAAGACAAATACTTTTAGATGGATAGTCCATTGATGTACTGGTAGCCATGAAATTTAAATGGCTTCCAGTATTGAAACACTCTATGGGGGAACATTGACAAGAATTGCCCAGAATGAGAAGGCATAGATGGGTTACATTCTATATTGACAAAGGGAATACCTAAATTGATGAGATCTGAAGTCCTTTGAAGATTTGACAAAAGAATGCAGATACATAATGCTAAAGCATGCCCTTTGCCCACAAGTCTAGCCACCCTATCAAATAATGAAATGAGTTTAGTTTGGCAAAACTTGTTCTTTGTGGACCCTTGTTAGTTTCTGAAGATCAGTTGCTGCTCCTTTTTCAAAATTCCTATACAACTCTTTAAGAAATCTGTGAGAATTTTATTAGCGATCAATACCAAGTTGCTAATATCAACTATGAAATGTAGGGTTTTTTTAAACAATGGTGTATAATCCTGGGGAACATTACCTCTTTAATAATTCCACAAGTTCATCAAACATCTTCATCTTTAACAGATGGGAAGCAGCAGGGTCAGTCACTCAGTATAGCATTTATTATGTTCCAGGCCCTGCATGAAATGCCGGGGATGCAAAGAAAAGAAAAAGTGATTCCTGCTCTCAACAAACGGATATTCTCATAGGAGACAAGTTACTAACTGGGGACATACCAGATATATACAAAAGTGGGAGAACTTAATCTCAGAAAAGTAGGGAGAACTGAGAAATACCTCCTGAAGAAGATGGGATTTGAGCTGAATTGTGAAGGAAGCCAGGAAAACTAAAATGTGGAAGTGAGAGCATTCCAGATATGGAGGACAGTTGGGGCAAAGGCATGGAGATGGGAGGGGAAATGTCATGTTCAATCTTAGTCTATTTCCCTTTGAATCTCCACCAGGCGCACTGATTGAAGCCCAAAGGCCAGGCCAAAGTCTTACCTTCCCTCTGCAGCCTTCCCTGTCTACTCCAGTCTCAGTGTTCCCTTCCTTCTCTGAACTCTTGCTGTATTGAAAGGACCTATTTCCCCTAGAGTGTCTCATAGTGGCAGGAACGTGACCCTGGGTTCTTGAAGGTTTCCAATTCTGGCAGGTCCTTCAAAGCTGGAGTGACTACAAGTGTAGCCCTGGAGAAGGAAGGGCAGTCTACCTGCCTTCACTGGGACTAGCGTAGTTTGGCAGCTATTTGAAAAAAAGTTTTCAACTACAACATGAAGACCTTCTACCGTGGGGTGGAAGGTAAGGGTTGTGATCCCCATTGTTGGGGGGAAGTTTTGAACTCAACGTCATTGAATTTAGGGACTCTCAAAGTACATCTGAGCCCAGTATTTGAATAAATGTTCTTTATTCCGCTCTGATTTTCATGAATTCTAATCATCTATGTCTCACTTGATTGTATCTCCTTGAGGACAGGAACTTTTCCTCTTGTTTCCTAGTGTGGTAGTGATGGAACGAGCATGAGATTTGGGACCAGAGGGTATAGGTTTGAATTCTGCCTCTGTCACTTACTCCCTGTGCAACCTTGGGCAAATCACTGATCTCTCTTGGCTTTAGCTCCTCATCTGTAAAAGGAGAGAGTCTGAGTAAATGGCTTCAAGGTTTCCTTCCAGCTCTCTATCTGTGGTCCTATGATTCCAACTAGCACCTTGCCCATAACTGAGCTCATAGCAGACCTTGTTGCTTCATCCACTTCTATACATTGAAAGTGTGACTCAGTTTTCAAAATTATTTAAAATTGTGATTTTATTAGTTCATAAAATAATAGAATAACAGAGTTAAAGCTGGATAGCATCTCAGCAGAAATCTAATTTAACCCTTTAAGGTTAAATGACTTGCCTAAGGCCCCAGAGATAGTAAAGGTCAGATGTAGGATTTGAACCCACTTCCTCCAAAGCTAGTGCTTGCTCCTTCTACACTTCAGCAAGTATTTATTCAATGCATTCCATGTGCTAGGCACTGAATTAAGTGCTGGAGATGCAAAGACAAAAATGATAGTCCCTTCATTCAAGGACTTTGCCTTCATGGAAACTACTGATGATTTAAATTGTCTCTGAATTCGTAAATGGTCAATGTGGCAATGTTCTGTCTAGGTTAGCTTGATATTAGGAGTATGCTATGTCTTTGGTAATGTCAAGGGACAGATGCTGCTAATTCTGGTGAACTGATTAAGTTTTATTCAGCACATGCAAAGATATTGAACTACTTTACTATTTTCTTCTCCAGGTTATTTTACAGATGAGGAAACTGAGGCAAACAGGGTTAAGCGACTTTCCCAGGATCACATAGCTAGTGACTGAGGCCAGGTTTGAACTCATGAAGATGAGTTTTTCTGACTCTAAGCCCACCATTGTGCCACCTAGCTGCCTAGTGATTAAGTGAGCTTATTTCCATCCTTCTCTGAAACAAAGGAATTTAATGGAATAATTAAAGATAATATTTTAAAACACTCACATAGGAAACAAAATTTTCTCCCCTTGATATCTCTGATTTTTAGGTGAGACCATAATTGAAGTTTTTTAGTGAAGGATTTTAAAAAATATTTATAGAAGGATACAGATAATAAATGGACAGGATGAGGAGGTTATATGTTCAGGGGTGGGAACTGTAGCCTACATTGTCTGGTAGAGGGTGACTGGCCCCAATCTTCAGATCCATCAATGGATCTAAGGACTGATGATTAAATCT